TATTTAACGGGTTCCGTACCTCGAAAGGAAAAAACGGAACCCATATAGGATCATTTTGTTAGTTATAAATTTACTTAAGTATTTTGTTACTTGGTCAATAAAAATTAAGATTATTTGCGTATAATGTAATCGAGTTGCGATGATTAAATGTTTCAATTTAAGCGGGAAAATTTCGTGACACGGTTACAAATGATAGGGTGCCGTGTACAACACAGAAAGCGTAAAAAAAAGTGACAAGCACAGTGAACCCACATGCAAACATCGCCGTATGAACACACATGCCAATTGTACTAAGAACATTATTATTCAACGTCCAACATTCATGGTTAACACAAAACGAGTTATGGTGATTGTCTGTGAGGTTGTTTTATTTTTGGTTTTAATTTGCTGTAGGTTACGTCAAACGAAGCTAAGCATTACAGTGATCTACCTTCGTTCGGTGGCTTCGTTTGACCACTGTTACTTTCTGTATGCGCTAGTAGTGTTGTCTTGGACTTCTCTAAGGGCCTACGCCCTTTTAGAGGCGACTCCGTGGCCTTTTTGTCGCTTCGCTCGGATTCACTCTCTACGCCCAACATACTGAGGGCGACAAGGTTGGCTACGGCGGAGACGTTATCTATTAACTTCTTATTAACTTCATAATATTGTATGGTGTAAGGAGTATTAAAAAATAATAATAAAAAAGCGATCATGCAGGACATACAGCCAATTTTAAATTAACCAAAAAGGCTTGTATAGCTGAAATAATTGTAGCGGTGAAGAAATTTCGAAACATATTGCAATTAAAAGGGGATAAAAACACCATTCATACCAAGGAAATGTAATCGATCCTTTGCCATGCCCAAGTTGGTTTTCATCTTATCGTGTAGGCGCTGTGCGCGCTGCCAGGCGTCTCCGCGGCCGCCCCAGCAGTCTACAGCTATGCCTCTCTCCAGTTCATAAATGCCTTTCTTGTATAGCTCTATAGCTAGCTCTTTCTGACCTGTGCCGATTTGTTCATATCAGTTTGCTATCTAAACTTTATATCCCTCACAAACTCAATACCAGACTTATGATCCAGTCTTTACATCTAATTGTGGGCACTGTGATATTTAGCACAACAAACATTTATTACCTGAATGCCAAATTACTAAATAAGGCTAAAGAAATAAAGCATAGTTTGGTAGAAATGAATATTTAAATAAGTCACTCATTAAATAACAAATGTATATAAAAGCTGGTGACATAGAATGAATCAAAGCAGACTTATATAAGCCTTTACACCTGTATTTTATAGTCAACCGTCTTGTACATAATAATATGAGTATATAAGATCAATAGATAATTATTTGCTTATAAACATTGACATATAGCTAAGAAGCCAACACATGTATGCTGTTGGAATATCACAGCAGAATTAAGATGATGTAATGAATTGTAAACGTACCCAATGGTTAAATAAGTTTATTTAATTCATATTTTAAAAAGGTGATTTGAAAATTTTTAAAATTAAGTTAAGACTTCAATATATTTATATTTAGGAACTTCTCTATTTAAGATGGGTGTAAAAAAAATTAATGATATTTCAATTGAAAATTTTTCTATCAATATTTTTAAACCTAAATAGCTAAATTTAAACAAATATTTGAGTAGTAAGTACATATAAACAGATTTTTTAATACTTTTAAATTCAATTATAGGAAAAAACTAGACAGTTATTGACAAACATCAATAATAAATAACAATTAACTAGGAAATAATTCTAACCTACATAACTACTGAAGTGGTTATCAAACAAGGTTTATTATTTTCAATTCATTTTTTTTACAACAGAAGAGGGCAAACAAGCAGCAGGAACACCGAGGTCCGCCCATGGACATCACCATTAATAACATAGCTGCAATAATATACTAATATGTTTAACAAAACTATCTAAACTTTACAATACTTCGGATGGAATAAAACACAGGAATAATTTATTCCAATTATGTCAATGGTAAATATATTTTTATATATAAAAGTAAACATTCATTGTATTTTGACAATAGATTTTTCATTGATAATATAGAACACTACTGTTTGTTTTTTTCAACAAAGAAAGCTCATTCAGTCGTACATTTTGAAGGATTTTGGGAAAACTTAAAGAAATATTTCAATCTCTAAGTTAATTAAGTTACCTTAACATCAATAAAAAGTTGATTAATAAGGAATTAAATAATATCTACTGTATTTTGTTTGGTTTGAATATCTTGTGTAACAATGCCAATCTTTTTTATTATTCTGCAGTTGCAAGCTTCATAATTGCTTGCTTCAATTAGCATGATTTTACATAAATTGTGAATATTTTCAAGGTCCACTTGAAACAAATGAAAATATTTAACAATTTAGAATTAAATTGACTTGAACTTATATGATATAATTTCTTATATTTAGGAAATTATAATTTTGTAAATATTTTACTTGTCAGGTTTTATAATTATTTCTCACATTGTAGTAAAAAAATTCTATAATGATTTTTATAAACTGTATGATCATTTTTTTTAAATTGAATAAAAACTACATTCCATAATATAAAATAAGTGCACATTATTTTAAAACTTAAATAAAACCATATATCTATTTTTAATATCTCCTTATAAGAGTATTTACTCAAAAATATTATGTTAAAAATGTCAATTTCATTTACTTATATTTTAATAATTAAATGTTATTCAATATAGCATGTATTTAAATCGATTTTGCTTTTTGAAACACCTTTCATAAGTATGAAAAATGCAGTATTCTTTGTTATATGACATCATCCATTTAAAAGACAAAAGAACAGAGAGCATGTCTAAAACATGTGTGAGTAAACAATGGGATATATGAATAGACTAATAATAAACACTTACCCTCGTTTTCCTCATCAATCTTCAAGGCTTTTGATATGTATTCAAAAGCCTTGCGATGGTGATGCTTCTGCTTGGCCAGCAGAGGGTCCCCTGGTCCCACATTGTGTGTATGAGACATATCTTCTGCAGCTAACTCAGTCGATATCACGCCGTCTTTTACCACCACTTCCAAATTACACTCCCCGTTCTTACGAGGCTTATGCATAAACCGGTGTGACGCCGAATACAAATATTTAAAAATTATAAACAACTGGTACAAAATAGATCTAAGGACGTTGAACAAAATAATGATAGGGTAAGAGACGACGTAAAGATTTCTTTTATGAACTGAAGGTTGCGATTCATGTCGCAACGCTGAACCCTTTGCTAGGTTCGCATCTGCCTTTTTCGATTTTCGGTTCGGAGACCTCGTAGTTTTCCGTGATAAACGACCACCATTGGAATCGTCACCCGAAACCATCAAGAACACTGACGCTCCCAGGAGCTTAACACGAAAATGCCATACAAGACAAAGACGCACACGTTTGTTATTCTACTTAATAATTCTAAAATAAAATATATCGCGCTAGCTGTGTGTGATGGTTATTGACAATTTCTGAGCTTCTGACGTTTGTCATCCTACTCAGGCAACCGAAGCTTTTATAATCTGTGCTACAAATTGAACGCAAACGGAGATCCTCCATCTTGAAAAATGTGTATCTATCTCACTCATAACTTTCTCTATAATTTTTGGGCTGTTTTAAAAAAAAACCATAGTGTATATGAATAAATTGTGATTTAAAAATTTATTATTTCTTTACATTTAAAGTTTGGATTATAAATACACAACAATTTAATCTAGTTAATTTAAGTATGTAATTTAAAATTTACAATTTATTTGTATTCATCATGAAAACACCCCCCCCCCCCCCCCCC